TCTTCCCTTGAAACTAACCGGGTGGCAAGGGTACAGTAAGTCTGCTATGAATGTTGTTGAAACATGTAAGAAGGGAGAGATCCAGACAGAATACACAATTACAAGTTTCTTTAAGTCCAATTTCATTGTGCTTTTACACATCTGGATAATTAACCAAGCATTACATTCTCTCTAGACTATTTTTACAAGTACAATATGCTGTTAACATGATTTCCATTAGGCTGTTCCAAACATCATTTAAGAACTCAAAGATTACAGACCGAGATTCAAAACCACTATTGAACTGTGATGTTGAGACCTTCTCCTCTCATGGGGGATATAAAAGATTGAGAGCTGAATACTTAAATCCTTCTGATGTAAAAGGAAAACTGGAGGTTTATTGCCTCTTTTAAGCTCCAGAAAATACAAGCATATACAAACACACCCTCATATCTCTGGGCCTTCATGTCAGAGGTGAGCTCAAAATATGGCCACCATGGGAAAAATGAACTGTACAAGAACATTGCTGGAAATTGCAGCTTGAAGCTTCTTTAAATATTGGGAAGGAATAATAAGGCCCAGCTAACTTCCTGGTGTGTTGATTGCTGATCTAGTTTGAGTTATTGTGTCAGATAAATATGTTTATCTGACTGAGCTCCTCATGTGAAGGTCATTGCTGAAATCTAAAAAAAATATGTGTTGAGATAGTTTCTGGTCATGCTTTTCCTCTTTACTTTTATAATGGCTTTGATGCTGTTCCGAGCTTTTATGAGGCCCGGGTCTGATCTGATGATAGTTACCGTTCATTCACAGACTTGAGGCGCTTCCTTGGCCAGCTGCTACCCACATTGGTGAACACCAGCAAGAGATCAGAGCAACCACAGGGCAGATAGTTGTGGTGATTGTTTCTTTCGTTGTTGTTACCAGCAGAACTCAGAACAAAAGGAGCTGAGCCCATAAAATTACAGGATCACAATTATAAGTCTGAAGGGGCCATATAGTTCATTTCTAATCCATCAGATAGATACACCTAAATTCTCTCCTCATAATATGGGGCTTTAGTCTATTTAAAATACATCCAGGAAAGGGAAAATGGGTAAAATAAGATATACTTGATTTATTGTCTAGTTGCGTTTTAAAGCACTTGTGGTGGTCAGAGAATCATTTGATTGAGAAATAAATGATTCAGGAAGAATAAACACATCTGATCTTGCAAAAAAAAAATATGTCAAGAAGAGCAAAAATAAACTGAAATTTCATTATAAAGTTTTGGTGTCTGTTTACCATAAATTGATCCTATAATTGTCTACTGAGTGACAGCCTGAGTCCGTCAACCAATGGAATGATTAATGAAAATTCAGTGAAGGATCTATCACACTGACATGGGGCAAGGAAGTGTGTGATAATTATTAGAAAGCAAAAAAAAAAAAGAGAGAAACATAATCATTGTTAGATAAGCAGATGTGGGCTAAACATGGAGGAGTATGTTTTGAACATGGTTACAGAACTATGCATCTCACTCTGTTTTCATAAATGGTCAGCTCAGCAAGCCTTTACTGAAGAAAAACCCAAGGTTAGGCCCCAGCTTAGGGTACCAGAGAGTCATAGTTCATGCCAGGACCATTGACTGAACTGTTATTTGACATGAGAAATGAGAGGTATGGAGTCAGTCAATCTCACCAGCTAGAATTCCAGCTAGTCATGTGATTGAAATATTCAGACCCTTGTTTTCATTATTTTAAAATATAGGAAGATAATGTTCACTTTAAGTTGACTCAAATTAATGTAGGTGAAATGCCCTGCTCACAGATTCATAGTAGATGGTCAGAAATTGAGCGGGTGTTCCTTAATTTTCTGCCTGGATATATCCCAGAACCTATAATTGTCTACTGAGTGACAGCCTGAGTCCGTCAACCAATGGAATGATTAATGAAAATTCAGTGAAGGATCTATCACACTGACATGGGGCAAGGAAGTGTGTGATAATTATTAGAAAGCAAAAAAAAAAAGAGAAACATAATCATTGTTAGATAAGCAGATGTGGGCTAAACATGGAGGAGTATGTTTTGAACATGGTTACAGAACTATGCATCTCACTCTGTTTTCATAAATGGTCAGCTCAGCAAGCCTTTACTGAAGAAAAACCCAAGGTTAGGCCCCAGCTTAGGGTACCAGAGAGTCATAGTTCATGCCAGGACCATTGACTGAACTGTTATTTGACATGAGAAATGAGAGGTATGGAGTCAGTCAATCTCACCAGCTAGAATTCCAGCTAGTCATGTGATTGAAATATTCAGACCCTTGTTTTCATTATTTTAAAATATAGGAAGATAATGTTCACTTTAAGTTGACTCAAATTAATGTAGGTGAAATGCCCTGCTCACAGATTCATAGTAGATGGTCAGAAATTGAGCGGGTGTTCCTTAATTTTCTGCCTGGATATATCCCAGATACACATGATGGTCACAAGGGGGAAGGTGCCATAAAATTGTGGCTCTCTTAGCCTTAATTTGTCATCACTATCTATACAGCAATTTAAAGTACATAGCCTCCCTTCTCAGAAAGAGTCAAGAGAGGTGTTTTATTGCCAGACTTTACAACACAATGGCTTGAGTGATAATATCACTGGAAGATAGGCTTTTTAGTGTTTGCACTAATTTCCAATAGAGAAAAATGTTTAGGAGTAAAATCAGATAAATCTTTCATTCACCAATATATTTTTATGTACCTGCTATATGCTGGGCAATGTGCACATTGTGGGAATAATAATCCATGAAATAGCAAACTTTGTTTTACCATACTTGAGCCAAGTTTTCCATTATGTGTGTTCAAAAGAAATTGTGAACTTTGCAAGTTTTGTGCTTTATTCATTTTCTTGTGTTTCCTCAAGTATCCACCATAATGCCTTTAACAAAAGTTAATTGCCCAATAAAGCATCATTAAATGAAGGCTGTACAATATGCCTTTACCAGTGAAATGTTACTCAAGGAAGTTTTCTTTTGGTCATTTTACAGAAATTTTATTCAATAAATGTTTAGTTAATGTCTTTAACAAGAGAACACAGCACATTGATGCAATAAGCCAATTTCAAACATGTAAAAACATCTTTATATTACCACAAGGAAGATAAAATGGGGTCCTGAGTATGAATGGGTAAACTGCTTTGATTCAGTATTGTGTCTAAATAACTATTGCACAAGAGAGCTGTACTGTGGAGCCCTTATATAAATTACATGTTACATTCTTTTATCATGACTTGGAAAGAGTTTAGACCAGGTTTAATTCTGACTCTACCACTTAGCCTCTCTGAGCCCTAATGTCTTCATACGGCAATTGGCTTAATGATATCTCCAGCATATGATTATGGTATGGAATAAATGAAAGTTTTCAGGGGTTCTCAGTCTTTGAACTACAAACCTCTGGAGAGCCTTGGAAATACTGTGTACGGTCTGTAGACTCATATGTACCCACATAGTGCCTCTAATCTATTTTGAATATATATGCATTGCTGTTTTTCAAATACATTTAGGTTAATTCAAGATTCATTCAACAACAATTGGTTGAGCATTAACAAATAAACAGCCTCAGGCACAGGGGATATACTAATAAACAAAACAGACAGACAGGCATCCCTGTCTGTGTTCATGGATCTTCTGTTCTAGTGGGGTGGGGGAAGAACAATACACAAGATAAATAAGTAAAAGTGTATAGGAGAGTGATGAGGGTTAAGATGAAAATGGAGAGAGGAAAAAAAGGGGTGTTAAAATTTTAGATAGGATGGCTTGGGAAGGCACCCCTGGGACAGCCTCACTTAAGGAAGTGAAGGAGTCAACCTTATGGCTGTCTGGGGGAAAGAGCATTCCAGGGGGTGGGAACAGCTCATGCAGAGGACCTGGTGACAGGAGCCCTATGGATCGCAGTTATGACTGTGGTTCAGGAGGGGCTAGGGAGGAACGAGTGAGATGGCAGTAGGAGCAATGTCAGTGAAGTGACTAGGTCCTATCAATCCTTATGCCCCAGAAAAAGCACTTACACTGAGGGAGATGAGAAGTTCTTACAGGGTTTAAACAGAGGAATGGCATGGTCTGATTTCTGTTTTCACATACCACTGTCCTGAACATAGACTGGATGAGGTAAGGGCAAAAGCAGGGGCCAGTTAGGCCACCGCCTTAGTCCAGGTAACAGTGACGGCCCCTGAAGCAAGGCGATGAGGCTGGGGATGCAGGAAGACACTGGATTCAGCACCTAGCTTGGTAGGATTCACTGATGGGCTTCTGTGGGGTGGGAGAGAAAGAGAAATAATGGCATCAGTGTTTTTGGCCTAAGCAGTTAGAAGAACAGAATTAACATTAATCAAAAGCAAGGCTGCCAAGAGGGCATGGGGATTGGAGCTTCATTTTGAACATGTGAAGTTTAACAATAGACATGTCAGTGAACATGACAGGAGGAAACCTTTTAATGGAAAAAATACAAAACTGGTTTTTAAATATTATTGAACCAATAGTAGCTTTTCTCAGCATAATCTAAAGGCAGAATTATTATGTTTGTGTTCACAAAATATTTTGAAATTGAAAAAGAACCCTGCACTGGAAAAGGTTGAAAACAAGGATAAGTCTAAGTGACTTTTAGTACCCAATAAATATTATTTTCTTTTTCTTCTTCCTTTAATACATGGTGATTTCAAAATTTGTATATCATGCAGATTTTGGAATCTTAATTTTGGCCTTGAGCTTTTTTTTGTCTCTCTTAAAGCTTTTAATGGAATTTGTGGTCACTGGCCCATGTTATTTTATTTTGGAAGGGAATTATTATTTTTTGTGTACCTCAGCTATGACTTTCATGTTACTTGATGATGAAAGTGAGAGACAGAGCTCTTTGCTATTTTGGAATTTACCATGTGAGGTTCGGAAATAGTTGGTATGTCTCATAGGGAAATACTGCTGTCCTAGTGATATTTTAATTAGCTTAAACACAATTTTATTAGCATCAATTTGTGGTGGTTTTAACATCTACCTTCTCAGTCTTATGCAGGAAAATATGTGCCAGCCATTGCTCACTATATCCGCGTACTCAACCCCGTGATGTCGATGAAGATCAGCCTAAAAGGAATTGCTATTGGAGATGCGTATTCTGATCCTGAATCAGTAGGTGTCTCCTTTTTCTTTCCACTTTGCCTTTTAAGGAGATCAAATACCCTTTACCCAAATGGAGGCTCCTCTTTCCTAACTTAATAAAGGGAAATACTGTTGCCCAGTTGACTTTCCAATGATTAAATTTTCTAATTTTTACCAAATGTTTTAAGGTGTTAACTTACTGTGTTAGCCTAAATTGCTGTGAGAACAACTGTAGGGGTGTGTGTATTGGGGGGGTTGTGTGTATTTTTTATGTTTGTATGTTGTGTGTTATATGTGTTGTGTGTATGTTTTATGTGTGTGTGTGGTTTATGCATGCATTGCATGTCTCTTTTGTGTATATGCTGTGTGTCTGTGTGTGTTGTGTGGTATGTCTTGTATGTTGTATGTTTTTGTGTGTGATGTGTATTTGTGTGTCACATGTGGTGTGTGTGTGTAAATAATCACCTTGCTCGACTAATTCCACAAGATAGACAAATTTCAAAGGGTTGTATCACCAAGCAAACAGGCTTCCCTAACTTCTCCCTTTCTCTCCGTGTGGCATGTATGCTTGTCTTCCTCCTCAGCTCACAGAAGGCTATGCAGCATTCCTGTACCGGACTGGCTTGTTGGATGAGAAGCAGTGAAAGTACTTCCAGAAGCAGGGCGATGCGTGCGTGAAATACATCCAGGAGGAGAAGTGACTTCAAGCCTTTGAAGTGAGTTCAGGGCCCTGGAGAAATGAGCACCATCTGAGGAGGGCCTAGCTGTGCCCGGGCTTTTGTTATTGTTAGAGAAGGTGTATCTGTTAATGCTGCCCAAGATCAGGAGGCGAGATGAGTGGGTTCGTAATGAAGGAAAGGACTGTCCAGGTTTCTTTGAATTTACTTCAGCTGTATTTTAAACTGGCAATCACCTCGGGGTGTTTAACTAACTGTGTTTTTCATTAACTGTTTTGATTTCTTCAAATGCTGTGCCTACCCTATCATAAGGAAATCAGAAGACAGGCAACCGAGAAAGTGGATGCATATGCTTCAACATATGCTCGAAACCCTTCAAAGGGGTAATATCCACACCCAGGGCTTCAGCTGGAGAAGTGACCAGTGTGTAACAAATGCCACATGTTCCTGTGTGTCAGAAACTAAGAAGAAGTGTAGTAATTTGAAACTTTTACAAAGAGCCATTGGTGTTTTTAAGTATTATCACACTGTTATCCTAAAATTGAATTATTTGAGAACTGAACAATGGGGTTATCTTCTTTATCCTTTCTTTGTTGTTATTTAAAATGTAAGACTATAGTAAATACCAGGCTACAGGAAGCTGGGTTTGGTTTGCTTTTGTTTTTGCCAATGCAGTCAAAGGTCACATGTAAATCATCTTCCTTACTGGGGCTTCTGCCACCTTTGTGGTAGAGCCATCATGTTTCACACATTAGTAAATGAGGAAGGATTGAATTTTGAGGACTTTAATCATTTTGTTATTGGAGCACATCTTGTAATAGTTTATGTAAAGGCACTATTGTTATTAAGTCTGGGGCTTGATGTTGATAGTCTTGTAGTCACTGCAGGTCAGACAATTTTGATCAAGAGAGGAGACATATGAACTTGCAGGGGGGAGGTGACAGAAAGTCATGCTCCATTCAACAAGTAGGGTGCCAGCACACTACCTGAAATCCCCAAGTTAGTGACGGCCCTTGCTATGGATCCTGATGAGTCCTGAGCCACTCCGCAGGATGTGAACAGTCTCCCCTTTCTCTGTGTCAGGACACATGATGTGGCTACAGAGTGTGGATTCAGAATTTTTTGTGCAATTGCAAATGTGAGGGAAGAGGGATCTTGCCGGGGACATGTGGGGATCATTCTTCAGCTTGCAATGACAGCATATTCAAGACTGGTTTTATGCTATCTGCTGTGGTAGGCAGAAAGGGCCAACAGGACTACATCTTCAGAATCCAGAATTCATATCACATTTTACATCACATGACACCAGTCTGCATGTGAGACATTTGATGTGTTTTTTAAAATTTAAAATGTAAGACTATAGTAAATACCAGGCTACAGGAAGCTGGGTTTGGTTTGCTTTTGTTTTTGCCAATGCAGTCAAAGGTCACATGTAAATCATCTTCCTTACTGGGGCTTCTGCCACCTTTGTGGTAGAGCCATCATGTTTCACACATTAGTAAATGAGGAAGGATTGAATTTTGAGGACTTTAATCATTTTGTTATTGGAGCACATCTTGTAATAGTTTATGTAAAGGCACTATTGTTATTAAGTCTGGGGCTTGATGTTGATAGTCTTGTAGTCACTGCAGGTCAGACAATTTTGATCAAGAGAGGAGACATATGAACTTGCAGGGGGGAGGTGACAGAAAGTCATGCTCCATTCAACAAGTAGGGTGCCAGCACACTACCTGAAATCCCCAAGTTAGTGACGGCCCTTGCTATGGATCCTGATGAGTCCTGAGCCACTCCGCAGGATGTGAACAGTCTCCCCTTTCTCTGTGTCAGGACACATGATGTGGCTACAGAGTGTGGATTCAGAATTTTTTGTGCAATTGCAAATGTGAGGGAAGAGGGATCTTGCCGGGGACATGTGGGGATCATTCTTCAGCTTGCAATGACAGCATATTCAAGACTGGTTTTATGCTATCTGCTGTGGTAGGCAGAAAGGGCCAACAGGACTACATCTTCAGAATCCAGAATTCATATCACATTTTACATCACATGACACCAGTCTGCATGTGAGACATTTGATGTGTTTTTTAAGAAGCATACGGGGACTAAGCAATGTCAGGAGCAGGACCATCTGACAAGTCCACAGGGAGAAAGGAAGCAGAAAGCTGTCTGTGGTAAGGATGCAGCCACCTGAGTGCCCACAGGATTAGGGCAACTGTTTGACAGCAAATGATTTTTGACTCTTTCTGAAATAAAATCCATTCTTAAAGGCTGAACTTATATTCCCATTGGTGTTGAAGATAATTTCTAAAGATGAATTCCAAAAATCCTGCATTCAAGACTACTGATAGCCTACAGTGTCCCCTCTGGGTAGAAAGATTCGAAAAAGACAGCTCACTGTACTGACGTGGTCCTGCGCACTCAGGGCTTCACAAGTAGCTGTGTCCATTGTGTGAGGATAAAGATGGCCAGTTCTCCAAACTCAGCCCTCTGCCAGGTTATCCAGCTTGACAAGCAGAATTCTGACTGGTTCTCTGCCCATTCTCATCCCTCAGCCAGGTATCCCCATGGAGTGCACAGTCTGCATAGCCAGACACACTGGCCCTGAGCAACTGTCACACTGCTAAATCATACTTATTACACAAACACACACACACACACACACCTTCCACAGTGATGGTTCTTTGATACTTGGTCCCTAATCACATGCCCATAGTAACTTGGATAAGTTAGGTTGCTTCATGTTTGACAAAGAAAACTAACCTAATAAAATCATGAAATTTTATATTAAGTGTGAAAGCCTGGCCAGAAAAAACTGAAGACCAGGAAGCACTGTGGTCAGCATGTTGGGGAGCTGGTGTGTGTGTGAGTGAGTGTGCAGGCTGCCAAGGCATGGCTCGGATTCGACTCTCACCTCTGACGTTTTTAGGGAGGTGTCCTTAGCAAGTGCCTTAGCCTTGGTGAGGGTCAGTTTCCTCACCTGAAATATTAGGAGGCTACTATCTTACCTCGTAAGAGACTTAAATGCATACTTGATGGATGGTTTTGAAAATGTGCTGAATTCATTTCTTAAGATCCTTTTAACAAGAGACCCTTACATCTCAGTGTCCTCATCCCAAAATCTCCCACTGTTCTCGATCTCTCCTAGACTGCTCTCTCCATATTCTTGCTCTACCCCAAACCACCTGCTCCCCTGATGCTGCTTCCCCTGCAGCCCTCTCCAGTGTGGGCTGTTTCTTCCCTTCCTTGATTTGTATCACTCAGTTCATAGGTAGAGTAAGTGTTCTCCTTGCTCTTCACAGCTATTTCCAGGTAATGTGTCCTTCATCCTAAAGCACTGAGCTTTGAATCTCATGTTCCCACATGACAGCACTCACTGCTTCTTGTAGCTGTCTGCCAACCCAGGCTGCTCCTTCTCATCCTCTGCACCTTTGAGCTCCTGCCTCACTGTCACTTTCCAGCATTTCTGGCGATGGCAGCATCCACACTGATGACCCTTTAGTATTTTGGTCCCTTGGTTTTACTTAGTCTCCTCTTTCTCTCTCTTTAGTGATCTTGTTCTCCTCTTTTCTTCAGCTGCTCATTCCCTTTAGCAAGGAAAAAAAATGGCCATCACTCCACAATCCCAGATTCAGACATGTTCCTCTATCCACCACTTCCCATCCTGCCAGCTCAGTTCTACAAATGTGCCAGCTTGAATGACAGTCCTGCAACCCCATGTCTTTCAGCCATTGATCCTACTATCTCTTGGTGTTCCCTAACCCTCTTAAGGTTTAATTTATCTAATCACCCTACTTAAACCCAAGCTTAGTCATTATATGCATTCCCAACCTATGCTCCTTTCAACCCTTCCTCCAACTCATTTGGCCAAACCACAGTCCTGGCCAGAGGCACCTCTCTATCATGCCATACCTGCCTCCTTGCAGCAGCACATGGCCAGAGAAATGCACACAAGCATGCTGACTGCTCTCACTCTCATCAGATGACTGGGTTTTTCAAGTCAAAGGTCCAAAGATAACTTCCACCAGATCCAAGCACCTGCACCTATGTCCACATCCTCTGTCCTCTAGCCTTGTACTGTGGGTGAGTGGTCAACAATCCACATGATGGCAAGTCCTCCTGCAATGCTCACTCCTGCACACAGGAGCTGTGAGCTCACTGCTTCCTCTGCTGGAATATCCTTTTCCTATATGTCTGCATGGCTTGCTTCCTCCCTTCTCACAGGTCTTTACTCAAATGCCACCTTCTCAGTGAGACCTGTTTCCTCTCTGCAATGCCCCTTGCATTTCTGCACACACCTGCCCATGTGCACTCATGACACTTCCTAGTCCTTCTATTCAGTTTTTCCCTTGGCTCTTAGCCCTCTTTTAAATACTGCATACTTTACCTGTTCATGCTTAGTTACTGTTCCCTTCTAGAATATAATTCCACAAGGAAGGACTTTTGGTCCGTCTTGTTCACTGCTGTTTCCCCAGTGCAGCTAGGGCAGCATCTAGCACAGAGATGTGCAAAAATTGGCTGTTGAATGAAAGTGCAGGAATGAGAAAGTTATTGAATAAATGAAATGACAAATGACTGTATATTTTTACCCACTCTGATGTTTTCCTTCTTTTCCTCCCCCCAACTCCTGACCTAGGTACTGGATAAACTACTAGATGGTGACTTAATAAACAACCCCTCTTACTTCCAGAAGGTTACAGGACGTACTAATTACTATAATATTTTACAGTGTGTGGTAAGGACATCATTTAAAAAACCATAATAGTGTTTGCTTAAAACTTTCGGCAAAACCAAACTTCTTTCTATTTGACAAATATTATAGCTGACTTTACACTAGATAAATATGTCCAAATGGTATTGCATTATTAGGATTTTTTTCTCCACCAATGTTGTATACATTCTAACCTGACCATTGAGAATGTATAATATTCTAGATAACTCAAAACAATCTCAGATTAACACAACTTCCCCCAGTAGAGCTTGTTATACAGAAGTTCTTTTGTCAAGGATAGAGGTCAAAATTGCAGTTCAGGTGATAGGTCCCAGAATACCAGGCCTTTAGCGAGTTTCTTGAAAATGCCCAGATTATTTGGTTTGTACTGAAGAAAGCTTGGAAAATCAAAACTGCCAAAGCCTTTATGAAAATATTTTCTTTGTCTTCCTTTTAACTTAAGATGTTTTATGTGGTTAGTATGGCCCTTACGTAAAGCCCTCTGGAATATTTCTCAAAGTATTCAAGTAGTTTCTTTTGAAAAAGCAGGCCAAAATTGATGTCTTTTGTGTAGAATTGAACAAATAAGACAAAGGGAGCCGAAGTGGGGGATTTGGGTTTGAATGATCTCTGCTAGTGCATATGACAATGCATTCTGCTCTTAAAATTGCCTTAATTGTGAACTATTTGTAAATAAAATATAAAATTAATTTCAATGGAATTTGCCAACCCTGGGCTTTTGGATTTAGATTCTACTACAAGAACAAAGGGTAGGCAAGAGAGAAACAAAATTTGTGACCTCATTTTTTTCTTTACAAAGTAATGTCTTCACAGAAAAATTTTCAATGATGCACAAAATTATTGATCTAAATGCTAACTTTTTTTATCCTTTTGTAACTTTTTAAAAACATCACCTCCTTTTTTCTGTTAGTATAATGAATATTTACAGAGACTTTCATGCAGTATAAATTTTTAAAAAATAAGGCGCCTGGACAACTTTATTTTTTGATCTCACATCCTTTATAAAGTATCACCTATTTTTTACACTTGATATATTTTGCCCTTCAATTATGGTTAGCTGATTGCTTTTTGTTTGTGGTTTAATAAACAGCAAAACATGGAAAATAAAGCCTCAGTTTTTAATGCTACCACCTTGGCCCCCAATCTGTCCTTGTTTCCATGCAATCTTCAACAAGGAGCAAGTAGGTTTGGCTGATCTCACTCATCTGTTTTTTCTCTCTTTGCCTTGAATGGAGTTGTTAATTGGAGTTACAGATTGCAAAAGATTCGTTTCCAAAAAGGAAAATCCAGTGTTTGCAAGTTCAGTATTGGCTCCAAGAGTATCAGGTCATCCAGATTTGTTGTTAGTAATATTTAAAGTATCTCAAAACAAACCCCCAAGTTAAAAATTCCAGGGTGGGGACAAGTTAATAGTCATGTCTCATCTCATTCATTGTGGTATGTATTATGGGGAATTTGAAGTGTTTCCCGGCATGCTGTTCCTGATGATGTTAGGAACATACAGTTAGGAAAACATCCAGTGATGTTCCCTAATGCCTTTCTGATGCTCCCTTCTGCCAGGAACCTGCAGACCAAAGTTACTATGTGAAGTATTTGTCCCTCCCACAAGTGAGACAAGCCACCCATATGGGAAACCGGACTTTTAATGATGGATCCGAAGTTGAAAAGAACATGCGGGAAGACACAGTAAAGTCAGTTAAGCCACGGTTAACTGAAATTATGAACACTTACAAGGTAAGAGAGTTATTTCAGTTACTGTCCAGTTTAGGAACTTTTCAGATTACCCAGAACAGAGGTGTCTTTCTTTTATTTGTAATTTGTCTCCTAGCATTTTTTAAAATTTTGGTATCATTAATCTACAATTACATGAAGAATATTATGTTTACTAGGCTCCCCCCTTCACCAAGTCCCCCCCACATACCTCTTCACAGTCACTGTCCATCTGCATAGTAAGATGCTGTAAAGTCACTACTTGTCTTCTCTGTGTTGCACAGCCCTCCCCATAACCCCCACGCACTATACATGCTAATCGTAATGCCCTCTTTCTTTTTCCCCGCCCTTATCCCTCCCTTCCCACCCATCCTCCCCAGTCCTTTTCCCTTTGGTAACTGTTAGCCCATTCTTGGGTTCTGTGATTCTGCTGCTGTTTTGTTCCTTCAGTTTTCCTTTGTTCTTATACTCCACATATGAGTGAAATCATTTGGTACTTGTCTTTCTCCACCTGGCTTATTTCACTGAGCATAATACCCTCTAGCTTCATCCATGTTGTTGCGAATGGTAGGATTTGTTTTCTTCTTATGGCTGAATAATATTCCATTGTGCATATGTACCACATCTTCTTTATCCATTCATCTACTGATGGACATTTGGGTTGCTATTGTAAATAGTGCAGCGATAAACATAGGGGTGCATCTGTCTTTTTCAAACTGGAGTGCTGCATTCTTAGGGTAAATTCCTAGAAGTGGAATTCCTGGGTCAAATGGTATTTCTATTTTGAGCATTCTGAGGAACCTCC